CGTCTCTTGCAATACCACTCGGCTCAAGTAGACTTGGCACGTTGACGGTGGCAAGGGAAGGGTATTAATTTTGTGATCGAGTTAATAAGTTGCTCGCCTGCATCACCCACAGAATGCGATGTTAAATCTTTCAAATGTTGGGGTGAGATTCCATCCAATCCTGCAGCCGAACCTGGTTTAAAAGATAAAATTGCATCAGTTACATCTTTGTTTCGAATTTGAAGGCATGCTTGCCCTGCTGTTGGTGGGTCGAGAAAATATGGGTTTACTGGAGCTGGGGGATGTTTTGTCCGTAATGCCTCAAGGGTGTCAGGGGTATCTGGCGATAGCACGTCATTGGAGAACAAAACGCGAGCGGCACCTTTAAGATCTCCGTCACAAATTTTGTTCTCGATGAGTTTTTTGCGATTAAATGGGGCATCATGTTTAATTAGAGGTGCGGGAGAAGGTGAGGAACTTACAGCACAGTTATTCTTTATCTTTTGTGTCAGGGATAAATTCGGTTCATCAGTTTTTATTATGTGTAGTGTACTGTATGAAAATAAAAATAGGTTCTGCAAAAAAAAAAAAAATAATAATAATAATATTATGTTCTGTTTAAAATAATTTTATATAAATTTAATTCATAGATTCATACAAAATACTGGTGGCGAAATTGTTTCTAGTACAAATCTTACTCATGCATTATTAATTAACTATTGATTTAATTATAAAACTGTCAAGTCATATTTCCTACTTGGTTCCAGATTTTCATTCTATTCACAATGTAACTCGCACAAGATGCTAAGTTAATCTAAGTTTGATTAAAGAAGTTGAGGAATCATTGATAGCGAACAGTATAACACACTAAGTTACTTGTTCATCTATTTCTAGTTTAAATGTAAACTAACTTGTTACATTCCGATATAAATGTTGTAATACATTGTTGAATATATTGTTATTACGTCACGAAGGGGTTTAACTGTTAGCCTAGTGCTCGTCATTGAAGGTATTACGCGTTAAACCTCGAAAGAAAAATTTTACTTTTAAAAATTACTCAGTATTAAACATCAATATTTCATACCGTAAAGGCCTACACTTTTTAAAAGGACCCTGATGTATTCACGTTAAAGCCTAGCAAATGCAAGTTTCGTAATTAGACCAAAGCCCCATAGGGGCATTGACCTTGGCTTGGACACTGCTGCCTCTAAGAGCCGGATATACCCGGATCACGGACGTGCGGGTTTCCTTCATTAGAGGTGTATACATACAGTAGGATAATCGTAAAATAATATTGTTTTATGAAAAGTGTTTTAAATTATTAAATATAGAATTTAAAAAGCCTTTAAGAAATAGAATAATAAATACGAAAGTGTATGTTTGTTTTTTGCATTCTTATGAACGTTGTTTTTTTGTTTGGTTTTAGAGAGGTATGAGGTGTACATGTAGTAGTACAACTTATAAATTTATAGGTCAGATCCTATAAAACCTATATATATATATATATATATATATATATATATATATATATATATATATCTATATATATCTTTGAGTAAAAAAATTTGAGGAGTGTAATTTCTTAGAATGATTAAAAACGTACCTTAATCCCAGTGGAGAATTCAAGAAAGCTTATGAAGATTTATATAATTTTCAGGTTTTTAATCTAACTTCGCTTAGTTAATTTAATTGGGAGCCAGTGGAGTGCATAATATCGCTTTGTGCCAGTCCTTAAGTCTGTCTGTCCACTCTTATTTGGTTGACCTGGATTCTATAGTTTATATAAAGATTGGGGAACACCGGGTGTTCATTAGGGCTTATGAATTCAATTCGGTGAAGACACCCAGTGAAATAAATATTTTAACATTTACTGGAAGGATGTATAGTATTTATAATGAATTAATATGTGCTTTTTCTTAATTAAATTTTGTAATTATATGCGTATTAGTAAATTGTGTAAGGTCTAGTTGATCTAGTTCTTAGTAGATCTTAGGGTAGGAAATTAAACACTCCAATAATGCCTTGGTTCACTATAATTCACTTCACTAACTTTACATAAACTGTATAACTTTAATCTTAAAAAAAAAGGTTGCGTGTACTTATGTACCCGCGTAAGAAGTTATACTTTTTTGGCTTTCTTTATTTTTTTTAAATATTAAATAATTAATAACAAATATTTAACGTTAATAATTTAATAATATTTAATATTTAGTATATTATTCAATTATTAATTAATATTAATAATAATTATTATTTATTATTTTATTATATTATTCATTCAATTTAATAACTACGTATGTTTCATAACCTTTTAACTAAGTAACAATAGGTCTTTGTGAAAAGCATTGCTAAATTTCTTTGAAAAAATAACTAAAACTCCTTTGTTTGTTTAAAAGGTAAATTTCATTATGGTCATTAAAACTTCTTGGCATAGCTGCTAACTTCACGCATATTCTATTTCTTTTTACTTGTAGATTGTCTTATTCCCATCTCGCTCGCGCATGCTATAATCACACTGACAACTTTGTGTCTCAGGTGCGCGCGCATCGTAAAATTTCACTCTCATCAATTTTTCATAACGCGCCTAAAGAAGTATAATTTCAAAAAAGGAATTGCCCGTGGGCATATGTCACAAGTTCTTTTATAATCTATTCCCTGCACCGACTAGACCATCCCACTTCGGGGAGATGTTCGAGTCAATTCGTAAACAACCGAATGAGTCAAATGATAAACTATTGCACAAGCGTACTTGTAGCATGATTCTTAAGAATATGTTTCATAAAAATGTTTAGAATTTAATTAAATAAGTATTAAAAGCTAACAGTTGTAATAATTAAATATGTAGCAATGCTTAAACGCTTATTAACTACTCAAAGTGTGTCGTGGCCTCCCGAGACAAATGAGCCCCATAAAAATTCAGCAAACGAATTCTTGGTGTACCACAATCTTTACCCCCGTTTTTTATTCAGCGCAAATGTAACAAAGAAAAGAGAATGCTTAATCCGTTACTAACAGAGAGTTTACGTTGCTATAAAAACGTTTCGTTACAAATAAAACGGTATTACTGCTGTCCACTTTTATATCTGTCATTTACGTTTACGGTTATAGTCTGTGGAGGATGCTTCCTTAAGTCGCAGATTTTAGTTTTTCCGTAAAGTATAGCAGGAACTGGGTCAAATATTGTTTATATTTTAAAACGATTGATTAATATTATTTGTTTACTAAACTGTCCTGATTCGCTAAGTCATTTGCAGAGTAGCTACAAAATCAACAAAACTTGCAGATTAAATATTGAGGAGAGTTTTTACCAATTCGTTACTGTAGTAAATGGCGGTAAATGTAAATTATTTATTTATTTTATTTATTTACACTTTGTTGCTTTATGATATAAAAATTTAACAAAATTTCAAGTATAGGAAAGGCAACTGGCGGCCTTATCGCTTTCGAGCGATCTCTTCCAGGCAACCACTGTGAGAAAAGAAATTATATGTATATATGTGTGCAGACGGTGTCGTATATAATACTTACGATAGATTAGACATATGTATTAGTCATTGTAATTTTAAGTCAAACACAAACTAACATTAACTTAAAAGCTATGTTTTTACAGACGCCATATTCTGATAATGTGGCCAGCTGTGTGAATTTTGTTCTTATTCCCCAAATTCAGGAACTCGTTATCTATGGCCCGAGTTAAAAAATGAAATTAAATAAAATTGGAACGGATTTATATGTCTTTTAATATTGGTCAATCGTACATTACTGAAATGTAACAAAAAAAAGAACAATATATAGTAATATTTCTTAATATTAGGTTTTTGTAACGCTAACTAGTCAAAAGAAGATTCATTTTGATTGTCTTTTAGTTTGCATATTTAGAATATAGTTAACCTAATTTTGAATCACGAACTACTCATAATAAATAATTACCATTGAGAGCCATTAATTAGTAACGGTAATAAATTAATGTTTGATGTTTATTGTAGGTAAAAGCAGTTAATTGACTTTTAATGAGAATTGACAAAGGTAATTCGAGTTATGACGTTTTCATACGATCCCGTCATTCATTCGGAAATATTAAAAGATTTATCATTCATTCAGTATTAATAAAGACATTATTTTAACATTACAAGTACATATTTAAAGCACTATACTATCTATGAATTTTTTATGTACTTACTGTATTTTTGCTAGAAGTGACATCTGTCAAAAGTCGTCGATAATTGTAGTTTGAAATTAAAACCCATAAAAAAAATTTAAAATATATAATAATAAAATAAAAATAAAAAAAAAAAAAAAAAAAATAAAAAAAAAAAACAAAACAACCAATATTGTTTGAGAATGTGGATCATATAAAATCGTTTTAATTAAAAAATATTTATACTTACTTCAAAATTACACTATCTTAACTTGGATCAATGAGGTTTGAATTTCAAACTAAAAATCACGGAATACCTGAGGATGTTTTACTATAATATCCGAAAACCTCTATTCTAGCATAGCTAACACACAAAAAAAAATCAGTGGCGCTACAACCACTTTAGGTCTTGGCCTTAAATTTCTGAATCTGTTTCATGATCATTTTTTTAAATCTAATAGGCAAGTAGGTGATCAGCCTCCAGTGCCTGACACACGCCGTCAATTTTTTGGGTTTAAGACATATCGGATTCCTCACGATGTTTTCCTTCACCCTTCGAGCAAATTTTAAATGCGCACATAGAAAGAAAGACCATTGATCCACAGCCTTGGATCGAACCTACGACCACAGGTATGAGAGTCGCACGCTGAAGCCACTAGGCCAACACTGCTCTATATCTATAGCTAACACACATGGCGTATAAATCGTAGATCCTGAATTTAATACCCGCTGAAACAATTAAACTGTCTCGTGTGAATGCACGAAGATCATTAAAACAGCCGCTAATATATATCTTCACCAAAACCTTTTTCTGGGTCTATAAAAACACCTATTTAAACAGGTTCTACGATTTATATATCCGATTCGCACCGCAATTATTTCCATGCGTTTAACTACTGAACAGAGACCAAATGGAACACGTAGTAAAACTACCAAAAACCTTCTTTCCCATCCCACGAGACGAAACGGAATTGCTTCAATCTCGTCTGGTCCCGGGAGCCTAAGTTTAATTCAGACCAGAGTGAGTTAATGAGTTATAACGCACTTGCACGCTTCTTGTAATTAACATGTAAATACACAATTACTTTAGTTCAAAGTTACCTCCCTGTGGGAATGTACTTATACTTAGTAGTTCAATTTAACCGTTGTCATCGGGGCAATTTTAAGTGGTTATAGTACGAACTGTTAAGTACGAAGTTGGAAGAGAGCAAGCAAAGTTTTATATTTGTTGTTATATTTAAGTCTCTGTTTCTTTTTATTACATTTTCCGTGTAATAGGATTGTATATTACTTTGATATACAACGTAGCTCTACGGCGTAGCTCTACGGCGTAGCTCTACGGCGTAGCTGCTTTACGTGTTAAAAACAAAGTTGAAATTGGAATTTTATTTATTTATATTATCGCGCCTTTTCCCGAGGCAGAGATACTATAATCACCATGCATGCTCGTCGGTAATAGGTACTTATAACTTGTTCCCTGTCCCTCCTAGATTTTGTCCAGGTACGTACGACAAGGCCTACCCAGCTGGATTTCACTATCCACGGTTTTCTTGTATATTCTACTTATTAAACCGCTTCTCATTTATCCGTTTTACATGTCCAAACCACATGCTAACATTGAAATTGGAATATTGTATTTGATTTCATATTTAATTTATTGATTGTTTAATCACGAGGCACGTAACTTGCTCTACGGTTGCGGTGCCTACAGTATCCGTCCGTCTTTTAACTATTATGTGTAGCAGCCCTTTGTTTTTAAATGTGTGACGTAACCTGGCTGGTTACGTTAGCTTTTCAAAGACAAAGGTGTAGCTTAGAAGAGGTAGGAGGTTGACTATGTTTAAATTTATAAATAAGCCTTTATACCGACAATACTGTCCTTCACATTTTAAGAACAAATATATGTTCGTCTTCTTTTTAAATTACTTTTTAAAAATAACATGATTATCGAACTATAATTTATTACAGCTATTTAAGTAAGAAAAATGCCTATAAGAACTAGTATATACATAAGTTAGACAAACGAAATAATAAACAATTCAGTGCACTTGAAACAGTTCACACGTGTTCTTTAGAAAAATTACCCTTAATGATGGCCCTTTTCACACAAAACATGTCAAGGGTTTTTGTTCTTCAACCCTATTACAGAGTAATGTACGTTTTCGAGTAGCTGCTATTTGGGGGACGGCTCGAGCTTTAAATTTTGGGAGCCCCTATTACATTCCTGTTTTTAGTCTTTGTTAAAACGCATTCGTTACAACTACTAATAAAACATTGGTACTTAATTGGTCTCTCATATTTAAACTTGATAAACTGTAAAATATTTAAAAGTTTTAATATTCATAATATTATGTAACATACATTAATCTACTTTGTGTTATACGCTTGTCTTGGCCTCAGATTTGTTCCAATGATTATAATTTAAGGCATTATAAATTAAGGGATTTCGTGCCTAGCAGACGTTAATGATTTTTTAGTCTTAAACATTTAACAGCAAGTGCTTTTGCACACATCATATCATACATACGATGTAATATACAGGTAAAATATTAAGTCACAACCGATCATAGTATAGTCTCTAAAAATAAATATACATTGCATACATTACGTAACCTTTACGCATCACTTCTTTAGTACAATAAACTAAACATCTAGGTGCCTAATCGTTACGAATGTTGCCCTAAATATCAAGAGTCCGTCCCTGTACTTTCAACGTCATTCCCAGAGCAATTTCGAGTATACAGAGGTCACGTTTTCACTTACTGCCCTGCGTTTGGATCATTGAAGTAATGGGAAAATCCATATAAAAATTTCACTCCTCCATTAACAAACAAAAATGGACTTTAATGCAATGCAATGGTGTCCAATTTAAGTTTGACTAGCTTTGCATTGTTTAGCTGTGATCAAGGGTCATGCCATTTGCAGTACATGTTCTTTCAAGCATTCTTTATAGTTATAGAATAATTTAGAGGTTAAGAACTACCTAAGTTTAAACGAGGCAAATTGCCTTGAGATTTCTTCCTACAACTCAAATGCCTTCAATTCCTATAGTCCTACAAGTATACTTGAACTTTGCTGATGTAATAAATGATAATTCTTTTGAAATAAGTCTTAAAATACTTTGTATTATATAAGAGGATATATACTTGTACCACCATTATGCATAATTCAGTATACAATTATAAAATGTGTGATTTCGCCTCGATTTTCCTGAAACCTTGTAACTTTGAGAGGTTTGAGCGTCGTGTCGTAACATGGATTTAATGTCGTGTAACAAAGACGTCTAGAATGGCCCGTATCTGAAATGAGCACTCGAAGGGTCGCCTCTTAACAATGAACACCGCAATTCCGTTTAATTAAAATTCGTTCAAATATTGAGAATAGATTTTTAACGAATCCTAAAACTTTTGATTAAATGACAGAAAGGTCGGACGTTTAAGTGAATCGTAGAAGCGTTTTTGTGTTGTATAAAAATAATTTAAAAATCAAATCTAATTTATTTAGTTGATACTTGTGCTGTTTATATTGAAAAAGTTGTCCGTAATATAAAACATTTTATGAATATATGGTTTATTATATAAAAGTTTACCTGAATTATACGTTTTCTTTTTGTATGTAATCTAAAAGCTGTATTGGTTTCATTTTTATATATGTATTTTTTATCAGGAAATATTATTTTCCTCTCTGGCGGTGGTTTAAGGTTTTGATTTGCGTTCCCTAGACAATCTAATTCTTGAAACTCCTTCTCATAAAACTTAATTCTATCACTCTTCCTTTACTGTCCAAAGTATGCTGCTATGGAATTCGCGCTCAGACTTTTAATTTATTTAAAAAAATTGATAATTTTTCTTCTGCCTCGTAATTAGATACTATGTACTTATATATATTAATTGTGACTCAATTAACCCTTGGATTAACTTTGAAATTTTTGTTTAGACATATTATTGTTGATGTAATTTTTTTCTTTAGATTTTACTTTATTTTAGCTATAGGTGTGTATGTTATTTTGAGGTTTTTTTGATAATTATTTATGTACTTATTGTACTTTACCCTCTGTAGGTGTTTTTTTATTGTTCCGTATTAGGGTTGCCTGGAAGAAATCGCTTGTTAGCAATAAAGCCGCCCGTTGATAACTTATGTAACCTGTATATTGTATACGTATATATATTCATATAGTAAGATATTCCTTCTGGTATTTATTGATATTCCTGCCTAAATTATTATTTCCTTCGTTCCAGGTGTCAGATGACATCGGCTACGTGATATATTCTGCACTGGGCAGCTTTTACATCCCGTCCTGCATCATGGTGTTTGTTTACATCAGGATATACTACGCTGCCAAAGCTAGGGCGAGACGAGGGATCAGGAAGAATCCAAGACCAAGATCTGTGAGTTTTATCAATATTAGTACGTTAAGATAGATTGCGAAACGATTTTGCAACGTGTTTAGCGTATATGACCCTTTGATTCGGATAACTGTCTCGTCCTAATGTTAAAATCACCCTGTCTTTTGATATACTATGATAGATTGGTGATATACCTCATACGATTTTGAAACTTAAGAAACAAAACTGTAATAAAAACATTTTGTCTTATGATACGAGTCTCGAGAGTTGGTTGAATTGGATAAGGCAATTAATTGTTTAATGTCTGTGTAGCCATGTTGTGTTACCATGAATAATGGATATTATATTAATAGCATATTCTATACTTATTATTTATTTCATTCTCCAGAATGACCAGCAAACAAGTTTCTCAAACGCGCCAAAGGGGTCGAACCCTATGCCTTCTTCGTCTTTAACGATGCCTGCGGGAGTTGACGGTAGTCATTCTAATAATAATAGGTATGTATACTGTAAATAAGCCCTATATATCTCATTAGCCGAATGAATAATCGGTTATATGCGATATATGTGTATTGCTATCATAGCCATTAATGAATATATCGTAATTCACTATCAAGAGTCGCTAATACAGTTTTGTTTTGATTTCGATTTAGATATTAGACAATGTTACATTATTAAAAAAAACTAAAAATCTAATTTAATAATAACAATAAATACACTTAATTTACAAAATAATTAGTACTTCTAAGTTTACTAAAAGCTTGTAAATTTCATTTAAGTTAGTAACAGCTCTTAAAAGATTGAAATTTATACGCAAGCTTTTTTAAGTGTAATAAAAGGACCTCGATCACGGTTAACATACTTGCATATAACCTAGGCTTAATAGACATAAAAATCTGAGCTACTTGCCCTAAAAATATAAATGAAATAGACTCAGGAAAACTACACCGTGTCGCGCTAAGACGTTAATGGACTTTAAATACAATTGAATCAAACAAATGAATCTCGCTTTTAAATGTTCCAGGGAAACACAAATATCGACAATAGAAACGCAGCAAGTTCCCATACCTACAGTGACATGCGATTTTGCATCTGACATATCCACTAGCGAGGCTGCCGACCAAGCTCCAACTCCTGATGATAGAAAGGATACACTCAAGGTAAAAAAATAATTGTATTGTATTAAATACCGAATTATATGAAGAGAACTCCATATATAGGTAATAGCAGACGGAATGATGTCGCGTTTCCTTTGATTATGATACGAAATGGAAGACGATCCCTGTTGTATGTGGAATAGAGAGGTTGTTGACCAAAACACGGCTTTATAACTATTGCTTTACACTGTCGGGCACCCTCTGGAAATATTTCTTTTAGATTAGGAACATTCGTAATTTATATAAAGAATTGTATAGGATACTAGTGATAGACGGATAATATCTGCGTATAACATATTGAAAATCAAATATAATAAGCAAAAATTCATGTATTACATGTATTCTGGGTTTCATTTTGATATAAACAACCATTGCCGTCTACTTGTCTCACAGTCACATTCTTCCTTTCATCTATTGAGATGTCAGATGTCAAACTTAATAGAGAAAATGTTTTTGTATTGTATTTGACTTTGTCACTTTAACTGTTCTTTAATTAATGACTCGTTATTTGACCATCTTTCTCCAGATTTCCCTCGTCCATGTAACCTTAACTCCCTACTTTCCCTCCCATCCAGCCCGATCGTCAAAATTTTAGGGAAATTTATTTCTGTTAATAAATTAAAGTTATAAATAAGATTCTCCCCTAGTCCCTACATAAGTAGTAAAATGTTAACCTCTTGTATATATTATTAGATGTCTGTGTGTATGTGTTGTCTTTATTGTGATGTCATTTTTGTTTTGGGTAACTCTGCTTAGATTAAATTCAATCTATCAAAATTATCAAATCTATCCTCATTGTGTGAAGACTTAGAACGTGACATTGGCGGAATTGTGATTTACACAGATGTCGCCATTATAAATAAAGTGAAGTGAAGTGACTTTGTCACCATTTATTGCAATTAATGCTACAATTTCTTACAAACTCAAGCTCTCAATAATTGGCTATAACATGTAAAAATATTTTAGAGGTGTATTGGCTTAGATCCAACGTACGTGTTAACACACGTACGAGGTTTAATACATATCTCACGTTCATGCCCGATACTTTTTAAATTATTATACGGAAAATTGTGCTCGAAAATATTGTTTTATTCTAAAGAAATTTAATATAGGAGAAAAATAGATGCTCTTTTATATAATAAATATATATAAATTAACTTTGTTATGCAAGAGCTGGGAACCCTGACAGGTATTTTTTGCTTAAAAGGGTTCCCAAATCTGACACATTGTAATGCATATCTAATTAAAATGAATAAACAAATTTTTATTTTATTAATTTTCCTAAATATCATAACTTAAAACAAGAACTATAGGATGCTGATAATGAACAAGTTAAAATATGTAAACTTCAGAATCTCGCGTAGTTCAGTAGCCTCTTTACATTCGTCAAGTCATTCCGTTACACGATACCTTTCTTCAATAATACTCTTCCTCGACGCTTATATATTTAAATCTTAAAATAAATTCATGAAAAGATAATATAATAATGTACAAGGCTATAAATGATTGTCTTTAAATATGAATCACTATTCAAAGTGCTAAAAACTATTCATTTTGTACTTACAGCAATAAATGCAACGAAATGAATTCTTTGAGTGACGTTGAGTAAACGTCTCTTAAGTGGGCATTAACTGCTATGATTCCTAGCTTAAGAACTTTAAAAACGTCCATTTAAAAAGCTAGTAATCGCAACTGTCTACAATGAACATCTGTCTTGTCCAGACGCCAATCAATAATCATTTAATAATGAAAATTTAAATCAGTCTACTTACTTAGATTGTGCTTAAAAATAGCTTAACAAGTTATTAGAACTTCATATTTTTTTTTAATTCAATGAAATCACATTTTTAAACATTTAATAAAACTACAATTACATCATTATTAGATGAATCTGTAATACTGCATCAAAGACATACTAACGTAAGCAAAAAGAGGCATCTCATATACCTCGTGAACTAATTAAGATGCTTGATACATACCATTTGTAGCTGAACTGCAACATTTTTTAGTCTTATTGAATCTTGACATTGATGAACATGTACTAAATGGATTAAGTAACCAGTCCTTATGTTACAAATTATATTTACGTCTAATACATATACATTTTATATAAACAATACACAGATAACGTGGGTGTTTATTTGCATGAATAGGTTCCACATATTAGAACATTGTTTATACATAAATAGCATTGCAATTGACCAAACTGAATAGTAAAATGAAGCCTGATTTAATTTAGTCGAAAGCTGTTCATTTTAATTTAAAGATATTTAAAATCCATCAAGTTTTTCGATGATTATTAGCAGACGTGCTTAAAAGAAAGTGGTAATTCAATTTTGTTTTTTTGCCGCGAAATCCATTAAAGGTTGGGAGTGCAATTTGTCTGTTCGCTCCGTTTTAAAAGCTTTACTCGTTGAAAGCTTAAAAAAGGCTTAATCTAAGAGAAATACTAACTGCTGGCCGGAATGCGGATTGTATTGGCATCTACCTGAATCGTGTTCCAGAAAGTTATGAATATTTTTACTTTATATTATGCGCTTAATTTTCACTTTGCAAGACTTTTCTCATAAACGATACTCTGTAAAAGACGGATATTGTTGTTTTCTACAAAAACTCTTACTTTATAAGTCATGTAAGTTTATAAGGCGTCACAAATTTGTCTAGTGCCAAACACTATTAAGGAGAATGATCGTTATGAATTATGCATTTTGTAAAATTATTTCTTGAACTCTATAAAAGGCTGAAAGACTAACTCGTATTTGTTGAAGTATGTGTGTATGACGCCTGCAAAATTTAGATGAGCAACGATCGTTCTTAAGTACGAAGAATTATCTGACAAGAATAAGATTTCTAAAATTCTGTTTTAATTCCAACAATTTTTCCAGGTGGTTACATCAGCTCAAGTAACGAGAAATCCTTTAGCCGCGTGTGCCTATAGACACTCAACTCTTTCCGTAAACGGTGAGCTTGCTCTACAATCTCAACGTTGCCGTGCTGCCAGCGTCGCCATAGACACCGACATGGTCTCCGAACTGGAGCCTTCGTCATCGGACTCAGGAGTTGCCACACGCTGTGCAGTGGTCAAACCACTCAAACTTCGAATATGTCAGCCTATTTTTGGTAAAAAGTCTGACCGAAAACAAGAAAAGACGCTACCCTCAAAGTCAGAACTGGAACCAGCGTTACCGAAACAGCATAAACCGAGGGATCCTGAAAGGGAAAAGAGACGATTAGCAAGGAAAAAAGAAAAACGAGCCACGTTGATTCTAGGTCTAATCATGGGCAGTTTCATTGCTTGTTGGCTGCCGTTTTTCTTTTTGTATATTTTGAAGGCTGCGTGTAGATGGTGTGTTATTCCCGGGAGTGCGTTCGCGATCGCCTTCTGGTTAGGCTATATGAACTCAGTTTTAAATCCTGTTATCTATACGATATTTAATAAGGATTTCCGAAGGGCGTTCAGGCGGATACTGTTCAAGTGATGTTTGGCCTACCTGTGCTGTTACCAATGCGTGGCCAATAGGATTTTGTTGGCTCAGCAGAGGGCAGCACCAGGTCTTTACAATATGCGTTAATTTCTACTTGACAAACCTAAAATTAATTTCACGAAGAACCATTCAACTGTTAATATTGTATTAAGTATATTGAGTTCTTGGTAAGTGAAATTATATTTAGTTCTCGATAAAAGTTTTAATAAGTACTATGAAAACGATATTATTGTTGAAAGGAATTGAATATGACTTGATTTATATTCAGTAGAAAAGTCTTTACAAAGAACATCTGTAATATTATGCACAAAATTAGAAACTAAATTGAACTGTCGGTTAAAAACTATTGAAAAAAATTGTTTTTCGGTGGACATAGAAAATCATAGTCGATAATAAACACTCAATAAATTTCTACCCGAAAGAAGTTACATTAAAATATTTTTACTGAAAAGTAAACATTGTTTCAATATTGTAAACCTTCGATGAATATTCATTTTAATTAATATTATTGTTCGAAGTTATTATTATCTGTTAGTTTAGGTAGATTAATTTAGTTGATTTTAACTACTGTGATCGATTTTTCCTACATATTTATAATTGTGTATAGTACTTATCATATTGTAAAGACCAGTTATAGATAGTAGAAAGTTTTTAAAATAGAACCTTTTTTCAATACCTTTAAATTATAAATTCATGTCTGAATATGTAAATGTCAATCAAATTCAAAAGAACGATTCAAATCTACACAGGTCGTAACCATAAGCTTGTCGCATACACACGTTTTCCGTATTCGATTTCCGAAGGCGGAATTCGATTTGGTCAAACAAGAATATTTAGCCTGCCCTGCTTTGCTCCCATTAGAGAAATAAAAAAAAAATACTGAGATTGAGAGCATGTTTATCTTAGGCGGAGGCCAACGGAACCTTAATTTAGTTGCGTTGTTTATACGCACATTGAACTTGAAATAAACAGATTTTAGACGAAATAATTAGTTTAGTTTTATGCTAGCGACAGAATTTCCTATTTTTTTTAACAACTTTATCTTTGAAATTATTCTTAAGAGAATTTACAAGTTTTTTACTTTTGAACAAATTTTAATTGACGTTTAAGTATTTCGACATAAAACAGTGCCCTACTGATTGAAAAATGACTGTGCCTCCGTGCCTATCAATGCACTTTACATAAACGCACCTTCATTAAGTACTAATGTAAAAATAATTATTTACGCAAATTCATTATATAATGTATTTTTCTGATTTTAAATACATTAATAAACTCTGTATAGATCACACGTAATCACGCAAAAAAAACGATGCGTTGTGATCCAATTAAGCATAATTTTATTTATATTTTGCCAATGAAAGCTGTTTAGTACAAAATTGGATAATATCTAAATAGCAATTTTATGTATGCTATAAAATAAAATAAATAACGAATATCTTACCTTCTAATACAAATAACTCCTAATACCTTTAAGTATTATTTCTGGTAAAATTGGTGGATAGTAATTTAATCAAATTATAATGTTCAATACCAATTTAATTATTAAATATTAAAAATTTTTAATGACATTGACAATTGCTGAAATGTTTGCGCTTACTCAATAATTATAAGATTATTTTAGAACAGAACACACTACGATAAACTAACATAATTATTTTATAATCTGTTTTAATTTGTTGAATTCTCCAATGTATATTGTAGATGGCGCTGGTCGCAAAAAATCGTGATTTACCTAGATATAAGATTTAATATAATCTTGTAATGATACCAAAAGAACACCAAAATCTTTGTAAATTTTCTAATCTTATGAACTAGTAATAATGTTCAATATCTAAAGTATACGCCTAGTATATATAATTAGCGAAATTAATGTATATAAAAGCTACTTATAATATTTTGCTTGGAATAATAGAATTTTGACCCACGGTTTTATTTAACTAAACCTACCTATGACTGACAGTAGTTTTCTGTAATTTGTAAATAATTTATAATTAGTGAAAAAACAACGACTATTTAATTCTAAATTAATAATTATAGATTCTTATAGCTCTCTAACGATAGATATTCATAGTATAGGCGTGAGAAGCAATAGAATTTTCATTTAACTCACTTGAAATTTTTCATGTTGTCTTCCAATGCGTGTGTGATCATAAATCATTCCTTAATTTAAAAACACCAAATTTTGTGTATCGCACATAAGTATTATTATTTATTAAGATTCGAAACGGATATCTAGGATTACATAATATAGCACTGAGCCCATGCTTATTGTGACTATCCTATAATCAGAAGGAATGTATAAAATTGTATTTTAGTCATTCCTTCCTAATGCAATAATTATTAGCTAAAACGTTTGTTTGTATCAAAGTTTTCAAAGATATACAGGTTTTGTACAGAATAAATATACCTACTATTTCTTATAGATTAAAATAGCGAATTTTGAGATATTATCTATAATGTTTATTAGTATAATTATATAGTATATTCCCCTAATAATTAGAGAATGTTCAATAAAATTGTTCTAAATCTTAAATTACTATTTATATAATAATAATGTTACGCTATAGTATAATTTGTTGATGATATTTTAAATTTGCGTCTGTTACGTTTCAAATTCTTTGAAAACTTGTAATTAATATACGATTATTCTCTCGAATGTAAAAAAAAAGATTATACGAAGTACCAAATATACAATTTTAATCTTTACTTCAGTGTTTTAATTTTTCCTCATCTAATTTAAAGAATAGGCTTACTACTATAAAAATACTATTCTAAATCTACGCCACTCTTTATATAAAAAATATTATTATACTTACTTTACTTCTTCATTTTGTGCGCAGGAAATAACGCATAATACAGTGTTCTGAAGAAAAATTCAACGTAAGTGCACTACAGGGTGATAAAAATAAGCAATTTGTGCACAAAGCCGCCTCGCTTACACTTTTTAAGAAGCTTTCAAAACTTTGAAACAACTGTTTTCAAAGGATGTTTATATGTCTAACATTAAGTACTGTGAATTCTATTTTTAAATTGAAGAGAAAATAAAGGAGGTTCTTAATGCATCGAATAATATTGCCTTACAAATTTAATATTGAAAACCATTAAATTTTTAAATAATTTGGCCCGGATGTTTTACAAAGTTAATATGTTCAATGTCAGTCATTTTAGTCGTGCAGCCCATGGGCCCGTTTAAACCAGAACGCGTTGAGTACGCTCCGTATTCAGTATAACAACACGTTCAGGTTGATATTGGGCTTGCCGAGGTTTTGCTTTAGGTACGTCAGGGTATTTTGATTGGCTTCAAGTATCATAGTGAAACACAATATACGAGTCCTACGTGTTTGGCGGGTTTTTTGAGTGCTTTGAAAAAGGCAGTTTCTTATATATTAATCGTATATATTCAAAAATATATATACAATTCAGAAACGAGACTCGAGAGTCTTATCGAGGGACTTATCGCTAAGACACCCAAACGTCAAAAATGTACTAGATTTTGACACATTGAGACGAAAACAGACTGCCCTTAGCTCTAAAAAGGCATACGTACTTTTATAGCTTTAAAGCTATTATAAATATAAATCAATAAAGATCAAATATCTGTCGTATTCCATTTCCTCCATTGTACGCAACATTCTCGGGATTTCTTCCTATCATTGCTTCTATTTTTGTTCACAATATTATGTATTTTTTCCCGGATCCGATAAGAAACTTTACTTGTGTACCTTGCGCAAATAAAAAGTTTTCACCGTAAGTTACAGTTGTAATTAAAGGCGACCTGTATGCAGGCATAGACATGTTTCTCCGTCTGTAAGACTATTTTCCTTATAGATAAGGGTTATGTAACACATTCCAAAACGGATTATTTGTATCGACAGGAATGAAACCCGTCAGACAAAACGCGCCTTTATTAAATTACAATAAAGCACTTGATTCCTGCAACACCATACTGGGACACATTTCTATGCCTGTTTATCTGAACTAACAAAAACACTGATTTTCAGTACTAACCAAAACAGCTTTGACGGGCATCGAATTCAGACTAAGGGTCTGTTTCACAATGTACGGATAAGTTCTACATAAGTTCCAAATTAGCTATTTATTACTTATTGGTAGGATAAACACTATTGTTGCGTTTCACGACTGTCAGATAGCGCTATTCGTCACATAAAGTCCATCATAAGCTATGAGTCTGATGAAGTGACAAAAAGCACAATTTATCTACCAAATAATTTATGTGTTGCATAGCTATTTACTTTATCCATACATTGTGACACAGACCCTAAATATTTTCGTATTTTAACTACCATAGCGGTTAAAGTAGCTAACTTAAGACTTATGTAAACCTTTAACTCGGCTACTGTAATAAAGTAAACCATAACTCTCGCAGACGAGTTTAAGATCTATATTAAAACTACTGACTTGATTTTATCTTTTTAATATACTCAACTGCGTTAACTCAAGAAGCTTGGTTTTATTTTATAAATAAAAGTTAAATAAGAAATACTATTCGAGATTATTCCCGCGATTTCGTTCGCCTGCAATTCTGTTTTATATCGGACTTTAGTTTGACAAACCATTGACATTTCTATACAAACGTTCCTTCCACCAGTATAGCAATAAAATTACTAAGGGTGCGTACAGACTATGTAACATGTTATATAACTTGTGTTTTATAACACGTCCACAGTATGTAACCTTGTTATTCAACATTATAACATAAAACAATACTGTACACATTAGAATAACAATGCAATATAACAATGTTATATAACCATTGTCGTTTGTCGTTCTCCAGTAGGGATGTGACATTCTGCATAAAAAATAGATTTTTTATTAATAAATATGGCAACCAAGAGGCTATAAAAGAAACAGAGGTAGGCAATTTAAAAGGCCGATGAAATCATGGAAATGGCAGGAAAGACTAAGACCTGGACGAGATTGGTATACAATAAGGAAAAATGGAGGACAATGGGGGAGGCCTTTGCCCGTAG